AACAGAAATCTGGATAGGTTGTAGTGGGTGGAAGATGTCTATGGAGGAAAGTACCAGAGTTTGGACTAAGACTTGTTTAGAATAATTAGTAAATAAGAGGCAGATTCTGTAAATGTTGCTCAGAAAAAGCAGTGGGAAATGCAATTGAAGCAGACAAGGGGAGCTGGCATTAAAAGGATTGATTTAAGATGATGAAAGTGCATCTAAGAGATGTAATCCGGAGATTAGCAGCGATATGGGAGGATGTATGAGTGTCAAAAGGGAAAAGAGACATATTTGAACATTATCAATTATATTGATACAAAAGTCATGGGAAGAGATGAGAGGACTCAGGTAAAAGGAGTACAGACCTAAGGGGATCCATTATCGAAACATGGAGGACACTAGTGGATAGAGAGCAAGTGGTTACAGCAGACCAGGAGAACTATGTGTGAGCAACACCAGAAATTCAGTACAAGTTGAATGAAAGGAATCGGAAACAGAAAAGTAAGTTTCTGTCAAATGAAAACCAGACATGCAAGGACCATGTAGTGAGTGCTATACAGTAGAAAGACAGAGGAGATAGAAACATTTGAAGGTTTTAGAAAGGGAGGGAGACATTTTTAAGAAAGGTGTTATGCAAGCGTTTTGAAGTGTTAAAGAGCTTGCAGATGTCAGCATTTGCAAGAAAAAGTTAAGGCGAAGATTTCAGGAGAAGACAGAATCAGGAGATCATAGACAAAGAGGGATGAGAAGGAAGGAGAAGTCTGAGACAAGCTTACAAAGATTGCTGGTAGAAGACAGTGACAAGACAGTGAGCAATTTAGAGCTCTTTCATTTTTCAAGTGCAGGTTAGATCTAGCCTGACAAAACATGAGGGAGAGCCAGACATGGGGGAGGGAGGAGGGGGCAAGGTGAGAACTGGGTGGATAGAAGGAATGAGGTGCTGTACATGTAGAGAAGAGTGTAGGGTCTGCATTGACACATTCTCTGGGCTTACAGGCATGAGACCACAGAGGAAGGAAGGTAAGAGCTAGGCAGAATGGGAGCTGCAGTGGACAGTCACAATGAGAGCTGACGGTGGAGGAAAAGATGGGAGAGCGAGGAGAAGGAGAAAAGAGAGGAAGAGGAAATTTCACCAATGATGTGTCTGGGGCAAAGCATGCCCAGAAAGGACAAAAGCAATCCTGTGACCCCACATTCAAAAAGAGCAGGGGAATGGGATAGGGTACAGGCATGGGAGTGGGCTGCTGGGGTACTGGAATTGTCAGGGTAGATCAAGGTTTTGTTGAGAGCAAGGGAATTCACAGAAAGATGGGGAAGCAAAGTTGGGACAAAGTCAGCTTTGTTAGATGCTTATTAAGCAGTTCAGTTCCAAAAAGCACGTGGAAGTAAGTGGTAAGGAACTGTTTTCAGGGAGCATTTCAGCAGGGAAAAAAGAAAAAAAAGAAATTGGGAAATATGTACATACATTTATTTGTGAATTGCCATTTCAGCAGCAGATCACATATACATCCTAGAGCATTTCAAATAATTTATTTTACAAATCAATGCAGATATTTTTCTGTCAACTAAAAGTCTGTAAGTTCCGTCTCTTCTTTGAAGGTGTGACAAAGAAAAACAGCTGAATCTATGAGGCAATAAAGTAAGTGCAAATTCACCCTCTTAAACGTGAGTAAGCACCAAGAAATATACATTATAATGTATAACCAAGAGATACAATATAGAATGAAACAGAATAAATGGGAAAGCAGAGAGCTTAGAAATAATTAACAGAGATTACAGTAACAAACATATATTGTGCTATAGCCAAAATACTTTATTTTCAAGAAGTAAAAAATCCCATGACCTAGTAAGAGAAAAATATATTCTATTGAAGGCAATACTATTGGCAGTGATGAGCCAGGATTTGAAACTGTTTTAACTTTAAGAATTGTAACTTGTAACTTCTAAGAATTAAAACCCTACTATTCCTAAATTAACTCACACTGTACCTCTCTTTCATGACTATTTCTATTTAACATGTATTCAGCTTAAAAAAAACTGGATAAACATTAACTAGTCTTTGTATTTACAGTGCTAGGCTAAACAATAAATGCAGACATTTTCAGATGAGATCTTTAGTAAAATGTAACAACAATGGTATGAGCATGAAGAGAATGTTGAGGCCTGTTGCGTTTACTTCTTATTCTCTTGTATACATAATACTAAGAATGTTATGGTGGTCTTTAGATCGCTCTGCCCTTGTTAGGGTAAATGCTGAAAGCATGAACCTGAAAGATTTTTATTGGGAAGAAATATAAAGTATCAACTCCTATAGAAAAGATAAAATCATTGATCGTCACTATTATTGTTTAAAAAAAATAAAGCCTTTATTGGATTCCTTATAAAAACCAACACTCTTCCTGTTGAAACACCCAGACATTCTGCACAATGCTGACAGACTACATTTCTTCCCAGTAGCCACAGAAAAAGTGACTGTGGCCAGTTTCCAATTTAAAACAACAAAGGCCTCTTTGCATGGCTGATCTGTAAGGGCACTGGAAAAAAAAAAGGCAGTGCCATTTTTCTCGTCACGCTAGATTGCCAGGAACAGGCAGTTTTACTGCAGAAGTTTCGGCACAGAAAACACAGGAATTCAAACCTGCTAAAGCAGTAATCATCTAATGGCAGTAACTGTTAACACTCTGTGATCGCTTGATCTTCTATGTGCAGAGCATTTCAGCTAAAAACCATAAAAACAATATAAACAGTAACAGAGGTGGAATTTGCCTTTTTTCCCCAATATTATCATTTTAAGCTGTAAACTCAGATGTAATGAATCTGGAAGATTCATACAGACCTGAAGGATTTATAGGTAAGATCAGCTGTCTTAAACATGAATGTTATAGGCTGTCCTATCAATAAAAACATTCTTAAGGTGCTGACTTCATTCTAGGTCACAAAGACAACACTAAAACAGTATTTTACAGAGCATAACAAAACTCCAGATTTGCTCCATACACTACCATACACACACCCTTGCTATGAAAATTAAGAATCACTTCATCCTGCAATAGGATAGGATCTTTTTATTATTTTATTATTTACAAGAAGTCTGAAATAGAAATGAAACATTGAGCAGTTGTTCAAAATTTTTAAACTGTATTTTAGCACTTGCAACTGCAATGCAAGTGACTCCTCTAGCCAGTTCCTAAGGCAGCAGGTCGTGACAAGCTGTTAAACACAGAAAGTCTGTTACCCAGTGCTTTACAACCATGGGCTGGCAGGGAGACACATGGGAAAAGCAGCACGCAGCCCTTTTAGTGTGCCACAGACACAGGGCTGCATCACCCAGGCCCTGATATAATTTCATGACCCCAGTGTACAAACGGCTGACATGGCTGAGAGCTACTCTAATATCAAGCTGTTAAATTTGAATCCAGGGCTTGTGTATCGCTGTGATGGGCCAGACTATCTGGAGTCAAGAGACATACTTCTGAGGCTGTTTATTTATAGGCGGGGTCTCTTTTCACAGCTAAAATTAGAATAAATATATGAAGTGTGCACGCAAAAAGTGTTAACAGAATAATAAAGGAAAGCCATCTGTGTTCACATTAGTTACTTCATTTCCAAAACAGGATCAGGAGGGGTTGATTTAAGTATTTAGCATCCTTCATGAAAATTAATAAAGCTGAACTTTCAACTCCCATCAAATGTTTGTCCACATTGGTATTGTTTAATGTTCTAGATGAGGTAAAATTACTTTCACAGCTATTTAACCAACAGGTACTGGCTTCAAATATCCAGTGCTCATACGAGCTGATTGTAACTATGCAAATGCTCATATTTCACATCTGCGTAATTTAGGGATATAAATCTATTCCTTGATAAAACTGCACTAGAGCGCCTGAGTATCTATTCTACAATACAGGACCTATGTTTTGCATTATGACATTTAACTGGAGAAACGGTACTTGCATTCCCACTGGCTAAAGACTTACTCCTTTTAATTTATTGCTTTACTTTAGGAGGAACACTGTAGAAGGGTTTATAACTAATTTAAAGACCCAAAACATCACAATTAAAAAATAAGTATTCTAACAAGTGTGTACTAGTTTTACATTTTTTCTTTAAAAAACATTTCATAGCATGTTTGCAGCAGCTGTATATAGCCTAACTGCATCAACATTAAAACTGAGCTACAGCTCCTACTCTATCCTGCTGCTTTTACAAAAGGCAACTTTAGTGTTTTGTCATTTATGAACCAAATTCTTTGCAAACTGCAGTACAAGAGGTTAATCACAGACATAAAAAGTGGCTACGGTTTCTGTTCCCGAAGGATACGCCACTGACACACACCTGAAGGTAGCTCACAGACGGTCTGTGTATTGCAGAGTTAGCTGGCAGTCTTTGTTCTAACAATGAAATCAAATGCAGAACCGCAAACAGCAACCGAGGTAAGAGCACAGTACAAAAGCTACCAACTTGTTCTCCTATCACTTCAGCAGGTTTCGGAAATTTTTAGGGGATGTGGTTTTTAAACTGCAGTAACTTAAGAATGAAATGTTTCTTTTCCAAGTCAAAATGACACATTAACACTGACATTGTGGCAGAACCAAAAGACGGACTCAATCACCATAAACCTTTATCAACAGTTTCCTCACCATCTTGTAACCATCTGTTGTTCTCGGTTTTCTTCTCATGAGTGATCAGTAAAAATCTGGTGCACATAATCGGTGCACGGCAGGCACTCTACTGTATTTGCTGCATGAATGTTAGCTAAAAGAGCAGAGGTGTTTAATACTATTCTGAAACTATAATGTGTATTTATTTTTTGGTTGATGTTTTTTTTCCCACAGTTGTGAAACAGTTTTATGGGCAACTGTTTCACAAAGGTATCTAAAACACAACTTCCCATTTATGATACCAGACTGTGCTGAAAGATTAAATGTAAACTTTGTCTTGTGACAAAAGGGAACTGAACCTCGAGACCTTTTTACTCTTCTGTACAGACCAGGAACATGAACAAAGCAGCTTACCTTGTCCCTTTTGCCAGGGCTGCCTGTATCATTGTCAGCCTTTGAGTTTCTGTTTATTTCCTTCAGGGAACCACAGACCCTTCCTTCAGCCCCAGGAGACAAATGAATGTGTACATGAGGGGGTCCCGTCTTCGAATTATGTCTCCTGGGATTGGAAACATGGCATGAAATATGTTGATATGGCACCTCAAGGGAAAGGCTCCTCTGCAGAGCATGATGACGACCTTGGTTTCCTTCCTTTTTGTCTTCTGCCCTAAAGCCAACTTGGTAGTCAGGACTCCTCTGCAATGGGAGATATGCCGATGTGCTTCGGACGAGTTTAATGTGGCGGCACAGCGGTTCAGTTTCGAGTCCCGGCCCTTGAACAGCTTGCTCAGAAGTGCTGTGCTGCCCCTGTGTCATTGTCCTCACGCTCTCCTGGGCAACTGCCCGTTGCCGAGAGAAATGCAACAAAATGCTCGCGTGTCGTTCTGATCGGTCACAAACAGCTGTACAGTCCTGACCAATGTCAGTTTCCCTGGGTTTATCTGGCACTGGTGTGTTGAGATGCAGTGGCCTTATGTCCCTGAGTTCCACAGTGGGACAGCTGCTTTTAGACAACCGCAAGCCACTGAGCGCTGTTGCGATGGAGCCTTTGGATGCAATCTGATCGTCCTCTTGTGCAGACTCGCCGGCAGTCAGTGAGAACTGGTGGGAGGTTTGGTATGGACCACGCATCGGTGCAGGCCCAGGGCTAACTGGAGAGGCTGGCGGCGTGTTACAGGGGCTCCGTGGGAAAATGACTAAGGAGGAGCAGCGCCTCAGCGGTACCTTGGCCTTTCGTCTCGTGAAAGTCCTTTCAGGCCCTGCTGGGCGTTCAGGGATGTCAGGTTCGAAAAATGTACTGCTACCACTGCAGTACCCCGCATCGCTAGTTGTGCTGCTGCTGCAGGAACCTCCATCTATGCTTGGGCTCGCACATGACGCAGAATCCCCACTGCTTGTGCTGCTTTCATTTGCGCCAGAGCTGAAAGAGGTGCCTTCATTCCTGGTACCAGTCAGACAAGATCCAAACTCACCTTCATTACAGGAAGCATGATCAGCAGCGGGATAGTGAGGAATAGCACCTGTGTCATCGCTGACAAGTTTGCTGTTTGAACAAGTTCTTCCATCACCTGAAGCACGAATAAAACAGCCATCATGAACAGCCGCAGGGCTGATGCAACTTTCCAGCTCTCCGTTCAGTTTGCGAGGCTGCAGGGAAATTTGCAAAGAAGTGCTCTTTTTGCTGTTGTTTACCTTAGGTATAAAGACAGATGAGCAGCGCTGTAAATTTCCAAACTCTGGTGACAAGGGAGGCAAAGCCAGCTGCCCTGGAGTTACCTTCATTTGAATCGAACTCTGCCCTCTGCTCTCTGAAGGGCTCCGGGAGGACACGCTGAAGTTTTTCTCCACGCCATTGCTGCAGGTCTCCGATAAAGGGTCAGTGTTGCTCCTTCTGGTTGCAAAATGCAAGCGAAGCCGCTGTGCCATTTGTCTTACTTTCTAATCCTGTAAGCGAGTGGAAGGCATAGCAAAACCCACTTGAAAAGAAGCAAAGCAACTGCTTCGGATCCTGTTCTGTGATTACAATCATTAGTAGCTGTACATAGCCGAAATAGCTCCAGTGACAACTTACATTCCTCTCGTGGCTGTACTGAAGTTATTAGCCAGGGAGGTCAGATGAACTCTGAAGTGTAAGCACAACCAAACGAATAGCTCCTGAGACTGCACAAATCCTAATGGTCTGTATCTTTAAGGAGCCAAGGTACATTCAGTCACAGAGAACCGCATTGTAGCAACTTTAAAGGCAGAGCTCAGCTGCTGTACTGAACCCAAGCCAAAACCTCGCTTCAATTATACCTTCTCCAATTTGCACGAACGAATCCAGCCCAAAAAAAACAATCTTCTAGCATTTCACATTCAAGCGCCACAGTACTTCTCTCTTCTGCTCCAGGCCAGCCGAGCCTTTAGAACTGCTTTAAGCAGCAATGTGTCTGAAGTTTCTTTGCTGCGCCGTAACACCACTAATATTTTTACCCGTTGGGATAGAATTACAGGAAATCAGGAAGAATGAGGTCCAGCATAATTCAGTATCAAACCAAGGATTGAATTCCCAAATACTATCCATACTAGAAAACCACTGGGATTGTGCAAATATGCAGGAAGCTACTGGTAGTTATTACTAACTGCAAATGAACTACGCTTGTAAAATGATGTCTGTTTTCCTGTGAAGCCCTTTGATGAAGAGATAAAGCACTGGAAGTAGCGATGTTTACACTAAGCATTCTCCAATGAGTTACCCCAGCTATGAAACTTGTTTTGCTGAAAATCATCCATTTCACTGCCCTAATAAAGCCCAAAATAAAACTAAATAAAGTTTTCAGTATGAAGGCGAATATTCAAAACCTTAAAAAAGAATTTATTATTTTTACAGAATATCTTAGGAAAACATTCACCACATCTACTGACATCTGAAACCCTTTCTACTGTCTATCTACTTATGCTACTGTAGATCCTTATATTTCTTTTGTCTGAGCTACATAACTGGGAATCATATTTAAACCCTACAGAGAGGAAGCAACACTTCCTGACACAAATTGACACGGCACTCAACACTGATGTACCCATTAGCACCTCTAAAAGACTCAGCCGATGGAAATATCCCATAACGGAACCCTATTTGATCATCCTTAGCCATTTCACTTAAAGGCAACGTCAAGACTGCTCACCCCCTTATTATGCGGTGAGCCCTGGAAGATTCTCAGTAGGGTGTTCTTAAATATCCGTAATTCCACAACTGGCAAACCACCTGCCCGCTTTAAGTATTAATCAAAGCCGACACCAAATGTTGGAGCTGGGAAACTGAAGAGCTTGCCATGTTCTCACCGGACTCACCACCACTTGGTTTTTCCTCTTGAGAATGGTTCCAAATCTCTCACAGCCTATACAACTTTCTTTAAATCCGGGGTGTCCAAACACACTAATAACATCTGAGGAGACCCAAACTCCATCTATAACTTTTTCCTCCACGTACACTTTCAACATCTGTTCATTATTCAAGGCTGCAGAGCATTTGTGAATTAAATCATGTATATTCCCCTTACAGATTTTTTCCTTGCATATTTGCAAAAAAGTTTCTTGCCATATTAAACAATAGGACTGACAAAGAGGGAAAAAAAGAACAGTATTATTATTAACTCTTAGTGAGAAAGGTTCCTTAGCTAATAAGAAACAGAACGCCATCTTCCTATGTGGGAGTTTATTTAACCTTTATGGTAATTTAGTACAGTGGCCAGTAACATAAAAAAAAACATTTCATGTTCATACTTTACTGCTTTTAATGTGCTGACAACACATTCATTTACACTTTTAATAACACCCCCGAGCATATTCCATTTCCCTTACCTGCATTTTGTAGCAATAAAATGCAATAAAAGGTATACTGGGTCATTCATTGCAAGTTAACACACCAAATAGCTGAGATATTTTTAGGCATAGCCCATGGGTTCACAAGAAAAAAAAAGATATACTTCTAAACCTTATATTTTTCATTTAGGTTTTGATTAATTCACAACCGATGAGAACTCCATGCTACTATATACAAAGAGACATTTATCCAAAACTTAGTATTTGAAACTGCTTCTAGATGTTACAAAAACACACCCTTGTTGTAAAATCAAGCCTGAGAAATACACCAAGTCAAAGAAAATGTTATTTTTAGCATACTCAAAATCCTGAAATATTTTTGTAATGATTAGCACACTCCACTACGTAGTTATTGGCTTAGAAATCTGACAGTATTACTAAATGATTTTTCATATTAAAAAAGATGATACAATAACTACAGTCAATTATCCAGCCAGATTATCTTATTCGTCGCATAGCACTCTAATGTGTGAAAGATGTCAGTTTTTCTGAAAAGTCCAGCACGTGTAATTGTTCTCAAATAATTATTCTCAAACTCCTAACAAAAATAAAATGCAGGAAGAACTACACAATTTTCTATCCGCAGTCACAGCAACAAATACATGAATACAAATATATAAAAAATGAAGAGTTATAGTGGGCTTTGTGAATGCAAAACATGACTATGTTTACAATAAACTTACCAAACGGTTTTCATCAAACACTTCAAAGAGCAAGCGGTGCTTTCGGGGATGAACCTGAAAGAAAGAGATTGGTATTTACATGCTGTACACAAGTAGTGAATAGCAAATGTATGTATTTAATCAGCCATCCATTTTCAAACCAGTTCATCCAATTCAGGGCTGCAGGCCTATCCCAGCAAGGAATGAGCACAAGGACGGATGCCAGTCCATCACATGGCACACACAGAAACACACACATACTCACACCAGGGCCAATTGTGTCTTTGCACTGTGGGAGGAAACCCGAGCACTTGGAGGAAACTCAAGTGAACGCAGAGAGAACACACAAATTCGAGGCAGACAGCACCCCAGGTCCAGAACTGAACCCAGGGCCCAGCAGTGCGAGGTAGGAATGCTAACCACAATGCCTTTGTGCCACCCGTACTGAATCATATCTTTGTTTTTCACATAAAGTAGAATTTAATACATTTCAACCAAATATCAGGTAGACAATAACACAATAAAGAAACAGTATGAAGTGAGACATACTCTATGTTCATTTGCTACCGTTTTTGTCTAATACACACAGAGAGTAACATGAACTCTTTTTCTCATCCACTTCACATTTTCCTTTCTCTCTAAGAAATTCTATTATCAGAATTCCTGTTTTGTAGTGGACACTATGCAAAATTTAAAAAAAAAACATTAGCATTTCATGTTATTTTGTCTAGACTTTGTCTAGACGCATGTGAAAATAAATATTACACTGGCAGAAAGAAAGACAGCACTGTAATGAAATATTAGGCCTACACCCCTTTGGTGGACATTTTTAACATTTATCTGACAACAAACAAAACGAAAGAAACCTTTCAAGTTAATTTCCAAACCAGTACATTTATCTGTAAGCACTGGAAAGGCAGGAGACCATTTCAATCCATTCAGTACCCAAAACAAGACAAATGCATCCCAAAAGTCCACAAATTCAGTGTTCTGCCTAAAGAAAGGCTGAAGCCTCTCAGGTGGCTATTGTGGAATTATATCATTATTTAGGATGTGGGGGGAGGAAAGACCCTGAAGTTGGCTTTACACTGATTAAAGAGTAAATAAAGAGTTTCCAAGCAGCTCAACATGTTGATGTTCATTAAGCATCTTCAGGGTTACTTTCTCTGTCCACCATGAGGTATGGCTCCTCTTTCTCTTACTTTCCCACAGACCTCCAATCCAGAAAAAAGTTTGGCCACTAAATTTTGGTAATTTCTCAACTGGGTGATCCGGTTTTCTCACTGCTAACAGCTACTGTGCACTGAGGAAATGGAAGTCATGTCATGGCATTTGCCGAACCACTTTATACCTTACAGTGTTGCAGAAAGCTGGAGCCTGCCTGGCAAGCAACGAGCGCAAGGCAGGGTACACCCTGGATGGGACGCCAGTCCATCGCAGGGCAGGGGCAACCCGATCATACATGGGGACAATTTGGGGGGAAATTTGGCCTGAACACTAGGATAACTCTCTACTCTTATCGGGAAATGCCCAGGGATCTTTAATGACCACAGAGTCAGGACCTCAGTTTAACATCTCATCTGAAAGACAGCACCCACTACAGTATAGTGTCCCCACTACTATACCGGGGCATTAGGACTCACACAGACCACAGGAAGGGTGCCTTCCCTCCTGGGAAGACCAGACTGACCACGCTCAACCCTGCTTAACTTCAGTGGGTAGCCAGTTGAGGGCTGCAGGGTGATATGGTTGCTGGCCAAGAAATGGAAGTATTCTGAATAATTTAATTTACTTGGCTGACAATTTTATTCAAAGCCTTGTACATTTGCACAGGGTTGGAATTTTACTGAAGCTAGGACCCCGCTCAAGGGTACAACAGCAGTGCCCCAGCTAGGATTTGGACCCACAACCTTCCAGTTAGGAATCAAGAGTCCTACTCACTCCTCTTCACTGACACTACAAGACACAGAGTAGCTCTCAGGCAGCTAAATCTATAATTACCACACTGGCATTATTTCATGTCTTTAAAAGTGTACGATTTAATGCGTAACCCTAAACCTTTGACCAGATGCAAATCTGAACTCTAACAAGCACACCAAAATAGCTGACTGCTTAATGGGGACATAAAAATGTTGAATTTCACACCTGTTAATCTCTTACAGTTATACTACCATTATTAAAAATTTAAAGAGAACACACTCTGGAATCAGATCCTTTTATCAGCAGCTTGCTGTGCATTTTAGTGTTTCCCATACCCAAAAGGAAGGGAAAAAATAAACAGATGTTTATCTTGTTGTAAAGCTAAAAATAAATAACTATAAGAAAATAAAAGGGGTTACGGAATAGACAAAACCATTTTGAAGCTATAACCGATTCGATGATCTCATTCAGCATTTCTTGAAAGAAGCCAGAGTACCGACTTCAACCAGCCATGCATGGCTGGATAGTATGTTCCAGACCCCAACAACCCTTTGTATAAAGACCTCCTGTTCTCAGTTTTATATACAGTTTACACTTGTGCCCTCTGGTTTGTGTTTAGCTTCCAGCTCTGAGGAATGCCCTAACACAGTTTTCATTTTTTTATGAAAACTGTGTTAGGGCCTTCAAGAATTTTGAATGTTAGAATTTTCAGTGTTACTTCTTTGCCTTTTTTTCTCTGTCCATGCGGAACATTTCTTTATTGATTCAAGAGTAACCAAAACTGTACACAATAATACAAATGCAGTCTTATTAGTGTACTGTACAAT